ATTTCAAGGACTGGATCCATTTTTGGATGGGCTAATAGATTGGAAAATTGGGCTTTTAGATTTTATTTATGTGAGAGACAGAGAGGGAGGGGAGACATTCACTGGTGTGACTGTCCTGTTGCATCTGTGTGGAGGCCAGAAGACAACTTTTTGGGAATTAGTTCTCTCCCTCCCTATAGTCCTTATATTGAGACAGTGTCTCTTGTTTCTGCCCTGTGCTAGTCAGCTCTTGTGTCTGCCTCCCATCTCTCCAGAGGAGGGCTGGGATTACACCATCACATTGTTTTCCCATGGGTTCCAGGGGTCAAACTCTAGGTGTCAGGCTTGTGTAGAGAGCTGTTTTTACTGGAATGCCTCGCTGGCCTGGAGTCTGGACATTTTATGGCTGCAGGTTAAGCTGTCACAGGTGTGGTCAAAGGCTTCAGGAACGTATCCGTCAGCTTTCCTCTCTAATATTGTATCCACTGGCATCCTGAGTAGAAGGCGTAATGGCTGAAATAGTGCTCAGAGTTGCTGTAGAAGTCTAGTCTAGCTCTTTGCTCAGTGTTTTAACTTCTAATTGCTCCACCCCAGTCATGCTTTCCCCATGAGGGTTTCAGGTCCTGTAGGTGGCCCCAGACCAATCGTTTTCCCTTTTACCACTCATGCCAAACAAGGGTCTTTGGGGAGACTCTTAGGGACCTACAAGGAGCCCCTTTGCTACTCTAGTCTTTTCTTCTACCAGTTGTACCACCTTTGGGGACAGTGGACCAGGGTCTTGCACCCCTTGGGAGCACCTCGGTTAGCTCCCCTGGAGCCTGTGCTCTGAGGTCTCCACAGCCTCCCTGATCAAGAGGATGGGTGACTTTTTTGAAGTTTAGGGAGTCTTTTAGGGGCTTGCCATTTCCCCTTGGGGATGGGCTCACCTGGGTGAGGGAGGGGGAGGGGAACAATGTTGACTACATTACTAATACTCTACTACTTAGAGCCTTATCCTCTTGTTTTCCCCCCTCAATTTGCTTATTCAGTACCTAGGTCAGCGTCAGCCATCCTGAAGAAGAGCTAGAGGCATTGCAAAGTTTTTACTTTTGAGTAACATCTACGTAAACTTGGACATGTGTCACCTTTAGGTTCCATACATAGTTTTAGGCACATTATTTCTATAACTAGAGTTTAAAAGTGATCATTGACAAGACAGGAGTTTTAAGACAGGGTTTCTCTATGTAGCTTGGCTGTCCTGGAACTCTCTCTGTTTGAACCAGGGTGGCCTTGAACTTACAGAGATCTGCTTGCCTCTGCCTTCCGAGTGCTGGGATCAAAGACACGCACCACCACTGCCCAGCTTAAATTATTTTAAACAGAATTAGATTTCAGATTTACATTAAAACACTGTTTTGACCTTATGTGAAAATTAATTATGTGATTTTTAATTATAGGCAACTTAGTCATACTACCTTTCTTAAATTACATCTATCATAAACATTTTTGTTCCTTTTGTTTCGGGCCTTACTTCTCTCTGTTCCCATTTTGTAGTAGTCTTTACTTTGGAATAAAATATTATTTGATGATATTAAAAAGATTTTCATTTTTTCTTCTTATTATTGTAACCAAAAATATCTTCTCCACTCAATAGTTTCTTTTTCTTTCAATCTTAATGATGAAAACCACCCAGAAAGCTGAATTTGAAACATTTGGGGAGGGGCCTTCTGGTTCTTTCCCATGTGATCACCTGTTTTTCCTGTCCTTTCTGTGGTCACAGCAGCAGAAGCTCTGGCCTAACTAGGGCTACGAGGACAGGGACTTTTTGACATTGCCGAAGTCGTTTTGACTTTTTCACTTAGAGCAGTGGCTATCTTCCTGACCCTGTGACCTTTAAAACAGCTCCTCATGCTGTGCTGACCCCCAGCCATAAAATTGTTTTGTTGCTACTTCATAGCTGTAAATTTGCTTTTGTTATGACTTGCAATGTATATATCTGATATGGGACCCCAAAAAGGTCACAACCCACAGGTTGAGAACCGGTGACTTAGAGCCTCAAAAGCCTGCATGCAGGGTACCACTGGCCATTTTATTCGCTCGTCTTTCATAAAAGGAGATCTAGCTTGAGGTGGCATAAAGGCTGCCATTGTTGCCTTGCCTTTGACACCCAACATATGAAATTGAATGGAATTTTCCATTATCTGGAATACAGAGTGAGATAAGTTTATTTCAGTGATTGGAGGTCTGTCTGGATTGTCTGGGGTTTACTACTCCAAGTTCTGTGCTGAAATTTCCTGGAGGCTTAAGTTGAAACGGCCCTGTGGTCTCGTAATCCAAGAAGTGACTTCCCAGAGGGACCTGTGTAAACGGAAGCTCTCAGCAAAACAATAAAAGCCACACCCAGGTGTGGTGAAGGCTGATTGGTTAAAAAGATTGTGAAGACTGGAATGTTGCAACCTCAGCGACCCTTACTCCTTTCATTGCCCTCCCCTGTACAGTTCTGCACTAGCCCCTTCAGACCGTCAGGTGTGGGGATGTCTTCAGTTCACAGATGGTTCATTTCCACAGTCCCTGAAGCTCAGGTGGTCATGGATAATGTATGATGCCTCTAGAAGAGATTTCCTGACTGTACTGAGCCTGCTCGCCTGGGATTCCTAGCAATGTATTTAGAAGATGCCTTGATTTATGACTGTGTTTTGTTCTGTAAAGTTTCCATAAAACTGCTTGATTCAAAACAAGTTGTTTAGGGCAATTCTGGGGTATAATCACTTACATATTGACCAAGAAGAGATGATCTGTAGGCCAGGTGTTGGGGACACACCTGTAATCCCAACAGTGTTGGGGACACACCTGTAATCCCAACAGTGTTGGGGACACACCTGTAATCCCAACAGTGTTGGGGACACACCTGTAATCCCAACAGTGTTGGGGACACACCTGTAATTGCAGCCATGTTGGGGACATACCTGTAATTGCAGTAATGTTGGGGACACACCTGTAGTCACAGCACTAGAGAGATGGAGACAGGAGGATCAGCTGCCTCAAACTCCATTCTTCAGCCATGGCAGGTTAAACCTGCAAACGGTGAGACAGAATAAATACTCCCTTCTGTAAGTTACTTTTATTGGGGCATTTTTATCACAGCAACAGAAATGTAACTAAAAATTCCATGTTTAGCCAGCAAGACACCAAGAAGTTGACACAGCCTGGGTCCATGGAGACTGAGGCATAGTTCACCATGACAGCAGACCTCGGCAGCATCCATGGATGTTGATTTCATGGGGACTCAGGCATAGTTCACCATGGCAGGAGACTCAGCAGCATTCATGGATGTTGATTTCGTGGGGACTCAGGCAGAGTTCACCATGGCAGCAGACCTGAGCAACATCCGTGGATGCTGATTTTGCAAGCATGCAGAGGGAAAGAGTTATGGGGTATCTGGGCTTCCACCAGCATTTCAAAGGAAGTCCCGGGAGGCCAGGGCATGTGCATAAGGATTAGAGTGCTCACACATATTCTCTTACAGGACAATGACATGAAACTGTAGGAAGAGAAGCAAAACTATCAGAGATTCCACAGGAATGTAGACTGCTAAGACCAGGACAAATGTACCAAGCTATAGGCAGTGAACAGATCCAGGCAAAAAGAATTACAATGTGTCTTACAAACAGCAAATCCAGGATACAGGGGCTCACAGCTTGCCCTCTTATACCTCATATGCTGTGCATGGGGCTAAAGGATTTAGTGTCTTCCCTCATGGGTTCATCTTGTGATCTGATTACTTTTATTCTTCTGTTGGAGGAGATGTTAATGTGATTGCCCCGCCATGGTAGTTTGGAAGTATTTACATCTTTTGTCTTAAAGACAGGGTCTGACTGTATTTGAGATTGGCCTGAAACTCATGCCGCCATGAGCTACCATGCCTGTCTCTTTCAATTGTTAGAACAGCTCACGGCTACAAGTTTGCCTTGAGTCCCATACACTGGGCTTGAACTTTCAAGCAAACATTCCAGATGTTTGAGACTTCTGAAGTATGACAGAGAATCTTGCACTGGCGCCTATTTTATTGGATGGAATTGTGGACAGATCATTATTTTAGTATATGTATATGAGAAAACACTGACAGGTAACTTCGTCCCAATGACAAATGATCATTGACAGTAAGGTATATACTGACTTCAGAGGTGATAAAAGTATGGAGGGTGTACCTTACGATGGATTCAACTCTGCACCGACCGAAAACAGAATTTATCATAAACATACTGAGCATTGAGTACATTAAATGGTAAGTTTATCATGTTCTCAGTTAAGCTTTTTGTCATCTTTGTTTCCCTCAGTATTTGCAATGATGAGTGAGGTAGAGCATACATTAATTTCTAGGAGACATCTTGCAAAAACTTCATGATGTCTAGATTTAACCTGAAATTAGTCATTGTCACTGCCACGCGGTAACCCAGACCTATAGTGGTTGTGGAAACATGTGACCCTTACAGAATGCTTTCACAAAGACAGTCCTGGAGCACTTGGCAGAATGCAGGTGGGTGACGATTGCTGAGCAAATCCAACTATGTTGGAATGCCCACAGCTTCCAAACCCCAACTGCCTTCTTCATATTCTCTAAAGGGTAGGGACCATAAACACCACCCACTTATTCATCTGCCAAAACAAGTCTCCTTGCAAGATCTTAATACATGAGACCACTTGGTAGTTTACAGAAGTCTGAAAATTTAGAAGATTTCAATTTTCTAGCTTACTCTATAAGTAGACCCAGAAAGCTTGAATGCAGTAGGTATTGAAAAAAATCTTCACACTTCAGTTGATTGAACTCTTTATTCAGCAAAGTCACCAAGTATTTCATCATCTCTAAGTGTATGTATCTTTTGTCCATGAGTGTCTCAGGAGGTTTGCCCTTACTAACTGTAGAGGATACAGAAGAAGGGCACTTCTGTGGGTTCTAGCAGAACATCTTGAGATGACCCCCTTACCTCTTTAAAATCTATTTCATCCCTTTTTGTTTTGTGTCTTCCCATTTAGTCTCTTGCTCATAGCCGAGAACTAGTGGACAATGCTTTCTGGTCCTCATGTTTTCTTTTTCCTTTGTGCTGGCGTTCCAGGGGCAAGGTGGCTAATTTATACATCATAGGAAATAAAACAGCAGTGAATATGGCTGACCCCAGACAGGTGTACAGAACGACTGGCAGATCTGGGTAGTGTCCTTGAAGAATTCCAATTACTGCAGGCATCGCCATATCTCCCAAAGCAGCACCAATGACAAAGGATGCTGCAGATTTCCCTGTTAAGGTAGTGTACTGCTCAATCCAGGAAATTCCACTGGGAAATGTGGTTGCCATTGAGGCTCCATACACAGAAGTTGCGATCCAGAGACAAAGAGGGCTCTTGTCAAAAAGCACCAGAAAGAAAGATGAGACAAGGCTGCCGATGTTGCTCAACACAATCATGGTTCCAGGCTGTAGGGCTGTTGCAAAGAAGATGGCCAGGCCCCTGCAGGCAGCAAAGGTCCCCCAGAAGATGGAGTTCAAGACGGCTGCTTCACTTTCTTCCATGCCAACATGGGTGGTGGCGAAGGAGAATATGTAAGAGCCAAATGTCACCTCGGCTCCAACATAAAAGAAGAAGAAGAGGAAGAGGAGACAGAGCAGGGCCCTGTGATATTTAGCTCTTCGAGTGCTCTGAGCAGATGCTGTGGATTTTTTCTGCCTTGAGCATTTAATACAAAACAGACCACACAGAAAGACAGAAACTACTAAAGCATAGGTGCCGATGGAAGTATATGCCCACAGCAGGTTCATGTTCTCAGGTACTGCAAACAGAAAGTCTGAGGTGGCTTCAGAGGATTGGTTCAGCATTAGAGGGTCAAAGTAGGGCTCTGTGTGGTTCTGAGTAGATGCTGATGTTCCCCAGGCCAATTTAGCCAGCAGGGGAGCCAGGACAGCACCCAAGGCAAAACTGAAGTGCAAGGCCTGCATGTGTGGGGCTCCTTCATCCCCCCAAAGAGCCAAGATGAGGACATTTGCACCTGCCAAGGAAACATGGGTATTGGTTAAAGTTACACTGTCAGGGAAAACCCAACAGGCCATTACTATCAAAAGAGGCTGAGCCTGTGTCACATGGCAGAAATGCTGTGACATTCGTCGTAGGCCAACATTAGCCCCAACTGATTCTGATTAAGGACCCGACCCATGAACACCTGAAAACTGTGTGTTGTGATATCTTAGACTCACACATGGAATGCTACAAGCTGGTGGAGCACTACCCCCCTGGAGCCAGGAACAGGGCTGTTACAAACAGGGCCAACAACACACTGGGGAGCAATACCATAGAGTTATTCATTGCATGTGTTTGAAACATTAGTGTTGAGTATGCAAAATTTTATCATTAGATAGAGGCCAAATAACAAAGCTTTCTGGCAACCATTTGACGGTTGGATGAAATAAATGTAAAACATCCCATCAGGAACCTTAATGCTCTAGGCTCTGGTGTTCCAGCTACAGGAAACCAGCATATCTTTCTGAATCCACACAACACTGTCTGAACACTGGCAAGGGGAAAGCCCTAACCACCAAGCCATTGGCTATTTTATTTTAACCAGTTGCTTTCAGATAAGCATATAATATTACTTTGTAACTTTGCAAATGAAATCTGAGTTATAAAATATTGCATGATGTATCAGATAACATTAGAACATCAAGGGACATTCCAGCCAGGGAAGCAGATCAGTGCCTTGCTTGGCCATCATCAGAGAAGCTTCCTAGAGCAGATGGAACACACACACACACACACACACACACACACACAGAGAGAGAGAGAGAGAGAGAGAGAGAGAGAGAGAGAGAGAGAGACTGACAGACTGACCTTGGAACATTCATCCCTAGACGATGTCTCCATCAAATCCCTCCCCTCAGAGCTCAAGGAACCAAGCTGAAGATGACACAGGAAGACTAAGAGCCAGAAGGGCTAGAGGAAACTAAGAAAGCAAGGCCCTCTAAATCAACATGAGCAAAGCTCATATGAACTCAGAGAGAGAGAGACAGCAAGTACAGGACCTGGACAGGTCTGTACCACGTCCTTTTCATATACATCATGGCTTCCAGTTTAGTGTTTTTATGGGACTCCTGAGTGTGCGAATGAGTGGGTCTCTGATTCTTGTGCCTTCTCTTGGGCTCTTTTCCTTCTGTTTGTTTGTTTTGTCCAATTCCAGTGTAAAGGTTTTTCTTTTAACATGTATTACACTAAATTAATTTCATTATTATCCCTTAAGAGCTTGTCCTTTATTAATGAGAGACAGAAAGGGAGCGGATCTAGATGAGAGAGGTGGTAGAGATTACTTGGAGCAGGAGAGAGAGGGAAAACTGTAATCATGTTATATTATGTGAGAATAACATTGGTGACATTTTGTTTAAGGTCTAACAAATAAAGCTTGCCTGAAGATCAGAGTGCAAAGTTAGCCACACTAGTTAGCCATAGAGACTGGGAAGCCACAGTAGTTAGCCATAGAAATTAAAGGTGGCACACACCTTTAATCCCAACACATGGGAGACAGAGGCAGATGGATCTCTGTTAGTTCAAGGCCACCCTGAGCCACAGGAAACTGATCCAGTCTAAAAGAGAAACAGAGCTAACACAAAGGTGATTCCAGCACTTGGAGTGACATGCCTTTAATCCCAGCACTAAGTAGGTGGAGACAGAAGCCATGTGGTAGGGCAAGGCGAAGAATATAAGGTGGGAGGAGATAGAGAGAGATTCAGTCTGAGGAGCAGTGCCGTCTAAGCAGTTTGATGTGGAAGTTTCTGTCCTGCCCTGTACCATAGCCATTTAGTCCCAAATAATCACGCAGAGACATATTACTTATTAACTGTTTTGCTGATGGATCAGGCTTTTTATTTGCTAGCTTTCTCTTAATTATCAACACATTTCTATTAATCTATGTATCTCCACGTGGTCTTGGCATACTGGAGAATGCCTGACTGTCCTACATTCCTGGTAGCTACATGGTGTCTCTCTTTTGTCTTTCTTTTCTCTGCCTCTTTGTTCTGAATTCCTGTCTAGCATCCTGCCTGTCCATTGGACAAAACAACTTTATTCATCAATCAATAAAAGCAAAACATATTTGCAGAAGGACCTCCCTCATCAGTCTGAGGATGTAGTCTGAGGACAGGATCGCCCCTTTGGGCTGAACATTGGTAGAGGTAAGAACTCTAGTTGCTGGCCTCTCTGCTTCTCTGATCTTAGGGTTCAACCCCAATATCTGACTGTGAGTTTTTATTATCAAGAACAATTAAAATTCATGCTACAAGAAACATCTATTTTCAATAAAAAAAGAGAAAAGAAAAAATATCAAGGGAAAGCTAGAGAGCAGGAATTGAAGGAAAGTCCACACCATGTGTGGTATTCAGCAGGTTTTTAAATAGTCACTGACAAATGGAAAAACTATACCTGTGAAGATTTAGAACCTCTAGGAAAATTAACAGGAAATAAGCAGCACGGAGTTTCTCTTAGCTCAGAAAACGGGGTATATTAAATTGTGTGTCTGCTTCTATGCTTTCTTAGCCAAATGATGGCCCTGTGCTTGTTTTAAACCACCAACTCCTCTTATTTACAATGATAAAATTTAACCCCCAAACTCAAGTCCATTTCACCCACACTGCAACCACAGATGGATGATCCCAGGGTAGCTCCTGCAAATCAGTCTCTCATAGAACAAAGTCATGAAATGAAGTTCAATTGTGTAGCTGGCTGTTCAAAATCAATGCCCAAACCAGCACCAAGAGCAGCAGCTACAAGCATGTTCTGTCTAAGTGACCCCATGACCCAGTCAGTACTTCTGCATCATTTCAAAAGTATGCAAGGGACAGTTGATGCCATCTGCTGTCCTTTTCTAGTGGAGTTCCCACCCCTAGAGCCAACACTGCAACTTCACACACCTGTATCCACGGCACCAATGGAAGCCCCGAACACAGACATGGTAATGATCAGTAAGACTGCTGTCTTGCAGAAAGGGATGAGATAAAGGCCGACTGCCATTGCCATCATTGACACTCCTGAGAAGAAAGGTAAAAACTTCAGCTGTAGGAGCTGGGAACTTAGCTCAGTAGTAGACTGCTTGTAAACTTTAATATTATGAAATGAAAATAAGCTATAAAAACTGTATCCCTCAGAATCAAAACACCTATAAGAATACAAAAAATAAGATTGAAGCAGCTTCTACAATGGTTAGGTAAAATCATGTAAATTCTATATGGATTTCGTAACATGATCTAACAGGTTTATAAGTATGATTAGTAATTATAATAAATTATACAGCAGAGTTTTATAGCAAAGGGGACAGGCTAGAAATTATTTACTTATTGTCACACATTTAAGAAACTAGGAGAATTTTTAGATGTGAGTTAACAATGCTTCCAGTGTCATAGTTCTGGCTTAAATGCTGCTAAATTAATTAGTTTGGGGGAATAAGGAGGGAAACAGAAGAACCAGGTATTTAACCATTAGCAATAACTTATTTTCCTTTCTTTGTGTCTTATAACATTCATATAAATTTCCCTTAATTGTGTCAATTTAATGGGACACAATTATGCTAAGACACTGGGAAACTGGGACAAAGACATAGTCTACATAGTTTCACTCACAGTCCTTTGTCCCTTCCTGTTTAATTCCAAAACCATAGAGCCTGTCCAGGTTCCAGGAGTCATTCTGACCCCCATGGCCCCAGAAGCCCCAGCCTACCAAATAAGATAAGCCAAATTTCTTGGTCAACCAATGTTAAGTCTGGAGCATAGCCCACATTACAGGAAAGGCCAGCATTCCAGGGTTGCCAACACTCACTCCTGAGGGCCAATCAAGTTCCCAGAGGGATCAGCACAGATTCCTTCAAGCTGCCAAGGTAAGGACAGGGAGTCTAGAAGCCTGGCTGCCAGAGAAGACACCCGAGCACTGGCCACTTCTGTTCTCCAGCATTCTGCAGGCTGAGCTTTCCACACATAGAGCCAAGGTGTTAAGTTAGGACAGGCAGAGAATAGCAAAGGCTGGTATTTACTCACCCAAGAGAAAGTACTGATTCATGTGGTCAAACAGAACCCCACCAATCATGGTGCCACACAATACCCCAGAGGCACGGCCCACAAATATAAGAGACAGACTGCTGATATTTCTGTTCACATTCTCTGCCAGGTCTTGAAATGTGGGTCCCAGTATAGCCAAACTCATTCCCTAAAATTTAAAAAGACAACAGCGTTTTATTTTCAGTAATTAAAACACTGTGTAAAAAGAGTGGTAATAGATTGTTCTACCTCACAAGAGTCAGGAGCAGGGTGATTGATGTAAGAGTGGATTCTTTAAAGAACTTCAGTTCAGAGAAATTGACAATGGAAATACAATCATCGAGAGAACAATGTGACCCTCTGGGTGTTATCTATGTACAGCCTCCAGTTTTTACATCATTGTATAGTGATTTGAGATGAGGTTTTGTGTAGTTCAGGTTGGCCTCAAACTCCGTGTGTAATGAAGAATAGCCTTGAACTCCTAATCATCCTGCCCTGACCACAAGCACTGTGTTTAGAGGTACGGACCACCATTCCGAGTATAAAAATTACATAATTCTCTGGTTTTATTCTGTTCTTTCCCTTAAGCTGTATTCTGTTGACTTAGTTGTGCATGGGTGTTTTGCCTGCTTATATATCTGTGTACCACATACATGTCTGGTGCTCTCAGAGATTAGAAGAGGGTGTTTAATCCCCTGGAACTGGAGTTACAGACATGTAACTCTGACATGTAACATGTATCACATATGAGCTGCCATGTGGGTACTTAAAAGCAAATCCAGGTCTTATGGAAAAGCAGGCAGTGCTCCTAACTGTGGAGCCACCTCTCCAGTCCCCAAATATTTTTCTTGACCATGAATGAATTTATTTGCAGGTTCTCCAGGTGGATCCTTGGGATATCTAAAAAACATAATACTCTTTACAAAAGTAGAGAGAGCAAATAAATTGGGCTGATTTGTAATATTAAATTACATGGGAAACATTGCTAAAAAGTTTGTAGTGCTATAATGTTATTTTTGTAGGGATGTGTTATTGTTAATGTGTCTCAGAAATTATAAAACATAAATAATGGGGGATTCCTTCTGTATGCTGATAATGTTTCTCTGATTGGTTGATGGATAAAACAATGATTGGCCAGTAGCCAGGCAGCAAGTATAGGCAGAGCTACCAGATGAGCATTCTGGGGAGAGGACACAGCAAATATAGGCGGGGCAATATTCAAGATGAGGAGAATTCTGGGAAGAGGAACACAGAGAGAAGCCGCCAGGAGACACCATGTAGCTACCGGAAAGATAGGACACTGGCATTCTTGATAAGATAAGGCCATGTAAATATACAGAGATTAGTAGTTATGGGTTAATAATTAAGAGGGAGCTAGCCAATAAAAAGTCCTAGCTATTGACCAAACAGTTTATAAGCCTTTGTGTGTCTATTTGGGACTAAATGGATGTGGGACCAGGCAGGACAGAAATTCTGTCTACACATAAGAATACCAGTAATACTCTTAACTGTTATATGTAAGGGATGTATGTAAAAATCAGACAGAGTGGCCCAACCTATGTGGTCCTAGCTAACCAGAAGGCTGGAAGGAGGATCAATTCAGAGCATGATGTTTGGTCAACGGGGGCAACACAAGATCCACCTCATAAAAGTTGTAGGTCATGAACATAAACAACTTTTCTTGCCAAGTACATCACTGTTTTAGATCTCATCACGTCTTTGACCATGGCCAGATTAAGTCTTGTTACTTACAGTTAATGGTTTGGAGGGGGAGTCTTTAAGGACATGCATGGCAGAGACTCTGTCAAGCACACGATTCTGTGACTTTAAGCTCATTCCATTGGCCTGGGTAGGAATTCTCAGACTTCTAATGAAGAAACCAGTGGCTCATAAACAGCAAGCTGATGTTTAACCCAGCAGAAAGCACTAAGTACTAAGGAAACGACTTGGCAGATTTTCATGCTAAGTAGCCAGCGGTGAAACGATGAAGCTATGTGGTTTGAATGATCTCCCCAAGATTGATCCAAGTCTAGTTCCCCACCATGATCTATTTAATGAACAATTTTAGGCACCTGAAGTGGAAAAGCAAAACTGGTGTTTAAGGGGATGGAAATCCATTGTGAAGCATGGGTCTGCGGCTTCACTGGGTAGAGTGAAATGACCCAAACGTAACCAAGCAAAATCAAGCATCGGTGGATGGATAGAAAAGATGACTCCTAAGCAATGCTTGGTTTGTCAAACCCTACTTTTGGTTGAGACAATAAGAACCATAAGTGATATGTTCCCAGAAGCTTCATGCTTTAAACCCTTATGGATGGATTTGCTCACTTGACGCCCACAGATGGTAATTTCTGGTACAATCTTTTCCCATACAAAAAGGCTAGAGTATTTTAGCTGTGATTATTAGAAAATTTAATTTCTGCTAACTGGATGTGATGATACAGTCCTAGGATCTTAGCATTTGGGAGGTGGAGGTAGGAAATCAAAAACTGCAAGTCATTGTTGGCTACATCATGAATGTGAGCCAACCTGGGCTATGTGAAACCTTCCCCAAAAGGAAAAGGTGCTCTGCTCATGGAGAATTCACAGAGAACTCTCCAGCAACAACCTAGCATGTTTCATTGCACAATTATATTGGAACACACTCTTGAATCAGCTCCATAGCCTCAGTGTAGTTCCCTGGGTATTATCAATTGATGGCAACTGTATCCACTGCCACTGGAGAGCATAGACCAAGCCCTTATGAAAAATCACTTCAAGGGGGGATCCTTTGGGACTGGAAAAATTTAGTGTTCAAGTACTTTGCTGCCCTTGCAGAGGACCTAGGTTCAGTTCCTAGCACCCACACAAGATGGCTCATTGTTTCCTGTAACTCCAGTTCCCAGAGATCTGACATCCTCTTTAGGACGTCATGGGCACCTGCATACATACATGATATACATAAACACATACCAGTGTACCATAGACCATGAGAAATAAGTGGTCTAAAAAAAAAAAAAAAACATTTGCACCCCTACATAATTCCAGGGTTTTTTTTTTTTTTTTTTTTTTTCTCTGCAGCAAAACTTCCGGACCACCAGTCCTCTGTCTGTGTCTCTTAATGGAAGGGACTGCACTTGTCTGCTCAAATTGTGCCTGTGCTGGAGACCTTAAGGAAAAGCTGATCAGGGACATTTCTCTCAGGAAACAGACACCATATAATTATGGGTCACTTCACTAAGATCATGGAGAGATTGTCCCTCTCATTGCAAAAGCCTTATCATTTTTCCTTTCCTTCTAATACCTGGTGTCCCTTTCCTTTGAGGGAAATATCTGGTTCCATAACATGTGGACACAGCAAAAGCTATAGCAAGAAACCAGAGTGATGCTGGGGTTGGGAGCCAGGGGCTCCCACATCAGGAGACAACATTACTATTGCCAGTGCTGATCCACGTTTCCAGGGAGTCCTCATCACACTGCAAAGGGGTGGAAAGCCATCCTGACATGCTAGACAGCTCTCCTCCTTGCTTCCTGCACTCCTTGGAATGATAACATGACCTTCTCAACTAATAACCTAGTCACTTCAAAAATAGATTATGTGGGGCTGGAGAGGCCTTGGCAGTTAAGAGCACCTGCTGCTCTGAAGGGGACCTGGACCCGGGTCCCAGCACCCACATGGTGACTCACAGTGGTCTGTAACTCCAGTTCTTCTGGTCCCAATGGGCACTAGTATGAATGTGGTGCACATATATACAAGCAGGCAAACACTCACACACAAAATAAAAATTCAGTGAAAAGTAGGAAACTGGAGTGGTATTTGCAGATGGTATGGTATCCAAATGTGCACTCCTACAAGCTGAGAATTACCTCAGGGTATATAAGCAAAATCTCACTCATGTCAATCAAACACAGTAAGGTCCATTTCCACTAAACGTCTGTACCCCTATAGTGTGCTGAAAAGGATCACAAAATGCTTCCCCCCCAGATCTTGTTAGATCTATAATCTCCCCCCAATGGCTGAGCTAATCTAACTGGCTTCTTCTCAGACTCTCCCTCCAAGGGCGCATCCCGAGTCTGTGGAGAGTGTCTGCCACCTTCAGCAGCATGCAGTTTGGCCTCTTATTTCCTGACCTTAGGAGGAGTCTTTGAAATGTTCCAAACCTTCTGCTAATGAGAGGCCAAAGCCATCAATATGTATGCTTAACACCTGCCCTGAATTAGTAAGAGAGAAGTTAGTTTCAAGGGAATAAATTTTTAATTGGGTTCCTGAGAGTTTGGGCTCTGTAGCTTTGGGGTGCTGGTTATATGGCGTTTGTGATGAACACTTAAAGTTAGAGCAAAGATGAAAAGTGAGCTGATATGGTTCCTGAGAGTGAATCCTGCCTGACTGTTGAGCCTGTGGTCCACTCTCAGCCCACACAATACTGTGGCTTTTTCATTATGGTGAACTGCGTTCCACTGCTGAGAACTTTCTACAGTCCACTGCTTGTGATGGATTTGGGGTGTAGAAGCTGTTGAAGGTGTCAAAAGAATTTAATGTTTGTTCAAGAAGAAGAAGAAGATCAAAAGTTACAATTCACCCAACAAATGCTGTTCAATCATTACGTGCATATGTCTAGTTAAGGCAAGTTACGGCCACTGGGGCAGTCTGACTGTATGTCAGCATACAGAAAAGCATAGGCCCTGTGTTGATGGCTCTTGCTTGTGTTCTTTGCCATGTAAATTAAAGGAGTTTAGTAGACTTTCAAACAAGGAAGACTCCTGATGCTATGTCTAGACTTTTCCGGATCAGAGAGATGGCTCAGCAGGGACCTGAACTCAGTCCCTGGGACTCTACATAGTGGAAGGAGTGAATGGGCTCCCTCAAGTTGTCCTCTTACCTCCATAAGCACACCATGGTGCAACCACACACACAAAATAAATTGTAAACTGTATCCTGAAATCTAGAATTTTGGATGCCTTTCCCTTGGGTTTCCTTGAAGGATGAGTCATATTGGGGAATCAGACCTTATCTCTCAGAACCAATGGGCTGTTGCTTGTCGGTGTAGCATCCTTAGACCTTGGCTCCAGCATGTGCAGGCCCCAGCACCGAGGAGCGTGAATAATACTGAGAGGCAGGTCTTTGCCTTCGTATTCTCCTTTCACAACTGCTTAGCTTCCTACACCCAGAGTGCGAGTCAGCAGCAGGATGCCAGTCAACTTCCGGTAGATTTGGAGAGTTTTGGAAACAGTTGGGGTTTGCAGAGCACAAGAACAGTGGAAGAAGCAGATACTGAAGCCAAAACCAAGAAATTGAGTCAGAACTGCCATGGCCAGTCTTAAAATGATCCAAAGGTGGTGCTGTACGGATCAGTCAGAAAGAAAACATTGCACAGATTTCAGCAATGTCTTCATCTTCCGTAGAATACCAGTGAATAGCTTACTTGTCATGCTTTTTAGGAAGTTTTAGAAGATCTTCACTCCAAAGTTAATAGCTTTTGGTTAGTGTATTAGTTCTTGGTTTGGAGATTTTTAGCATAGAGTACTTGCCTAGCTTTTGTGAGGCCCTGGGTTCATCATAGTACTTCAGAAACTGAACGTGCTGGCACACACCTATTATCCCAGCACTTTGGAAGTGAGGTCTGGAGGATCAGGAGTTCAGTGTCACTATCAACTACAGAATGAGTTCAGGACCAACCTGGGATAGAGATTTTGTCAAAAAGAGGAAGGGAGGAGGAGGAAAGGAGGAGGAAGAAGGAAATGAAGGAAGGAATTTTCTTTTAACTTTTTATTAAGGCAGGAAATAGGAAATATAATTTTTTTAGACTTTTCTTTGATCATCAAGGGATCACAAAATGACATAAAGAAGTCAACTTATAAGACATTTTTCTCCCTTTAGAATATAAACTTAAAACTACAGAATCAAATCTTACAAACCCTGAGAGATTTTTGCAACCGTTTTAATTTCAAGGAATCAATCCAGTGCCTGTTAACTTTAAAAAAAAAATATTTCCTGGGACTGGAGCAGTGGCTCAGTCGTTAAGAGCCATGGTTATTCTTCCAGAGGCCCTGAGTTCAATTCCCGGCAACCACAGGGTGGCTCACAACCAGCTCTCTGTAATGACATCTGGCACCCTCTTCTGGCCTGCAGGCACACATGCAGTCATGCATACACAATAAATAATCTTTAAAAATATTTGTTTTATTTCTTAGTTATGTGTATGAACTGTGGAAGTGGGCTGAGCATGTGCCCATGGGACAAAGGCATCAGATCACACAGCTGGAGTTCCTGGTCATTGTGACCAGCCTGACTGGATGCTAGGAAACCAACTGTGGCCCCCTGCGAGAGTTCTGCACACTTCCATATCTGCAGCAACTAGTTATTGATTTTACAATGCATTCTATACAGTGATTTTGGGATCTTTCCATAAAAGATACTAGCACAGCCCATAAGAAAAGTGTAAGGACTTGGAGCTTTTAAAATTAAAGGTTTTAATTCTGTAGCCATTTTAAAATGTTGGGCAAACTTAGTGGTGAAGGGGAATGACAACTTTGAGGGCAATTAATTCACAGTAATTTGAAAGTTCAGTTAGATGATACCACATAGTGTTGAAATTTCATGAAAACTTAAGCACTAATTTTTAGTTTGCTGTCAAAAGTTTAAAAGTTTCTTTTCTTTTGAAGTGTTTACATTCGTTTTGGTTTTGTGTCTTAGACTTACTTCAGGAATCCTCTGCCATGCTTCAGGCCAGTTCTTAATTATGGCTGTTCTTAATCCTAATGCATATCGGACTTCAGATTAAATTGGCTGTTGATGGGGCTGTGCTGTCTATGGAACTTACTAAATTAGTAATTTTCTTCAGGAAAACAGAGGAGTTTGTTTTTGTTTTTGTTTTTGTTTTTAGGTAAAGCCCCATGTAGCTCAGGCTGGCCTCAAACTTGACATGTAGCTGAGGATGACCCTAAATTCATGATCCTTCTGCCTCATTCCTGAACTGCTGGGATTACCACCTCGTCAAACTTGGATACTTCTTTATACCAGGCAATCTCCACCCCCCCACATACCCCCAAAGACAGGTTTCTCTATGTAACCCTGGCTGTCCTGGCACTCACTCTGTAGACCCATCTGGCCTCCAACTCAGAGATCTTCCTGCCTCTGCCTCCCAAGTGCTGGGATTAAAGGTGTGTGCCACCACCACCCAGCTACATCAAGCAACCTTAGAGCCAACTATAGGCCTTAATAACCATCCTGCATCAAGACCAATGGGAGTCTAATTTTATTGAGCACCTACTACATAAACTGTATTGTTTGATCTTGATCCATTTCAGTTTCTTGGCACTATCCTCCTAGTGACTACCATATTGACTCCCTGGTACGTTGAATTAACTAAAGTCAAGCATATTTTCATATACCCATAGAAACGTATGATACAAAACATGAAGAAAGCTTATAGAAAACTAACCTGTCATTGGCATTTTGTATTCCACAAATGAACAAAACAACCATTCATGTGGTAATAGTAATTACCTAAAGCTACCTCTTTAGGTAGCACACAGTAACCTACCTTAACATGTCAACAAACTGCAAGCTCAGAGAACATTCTGGGAAAAGTGACTGACAGATAGGCACTCAGATCATCAGACTGCCAATGCCCAGAAATGGGCAAAGGTGGTAAATGAGCTGCAATAAAAATGCTCCTCCTACATGTGACATTTTGTTCCACCTTTAGATACTGACACAGATGTTCCTGCAACTTTACTTTGTACAAAGAAAGTACAAAAATGCACTTTTCCAGGCTCTTCTTTTTAATAGATATAGCAAGACCTAAAGGCTAACCAGGGGGCTTTTAGAAGACATTCCTTGGGCTCTTAAATAAAGTTTCTAATTCATTTACTTTTTGAAGCATTTATCTAAATGGTTCTATTATTAATAAAAGTTCAGGAGTCAGATATTGGGATAAAAACCTAGTAGATCAAGAACGCAGCAGAGAAATGAATAGCTGACCCTCTCCACATTTCCCAGATCAAAAGGGCCCCGGATTCTCTAGAGAGCCCCTTTCCTATGGTTGCCTGTGCCTCTCTATCCTACTGTATCCTGAGTCCTCCAAAATCTCTCTGGCTATTCCGGTCGTTGACTCTGCCCTATGATTCAAGGTTAACTATATTAAGAGCCTGGAGTGTCACAGTATGATCAAATATCCCGAACAACATTGCAAGAACTATTGATTCTAAATGCACCACTCTGCTCCATAGGCTAGTGTGTGCCTTCCATTGGCGAGATTCGTCCAGGACCATGGACCAGCGTGAGCGCAGGTGCACAGCAAGTAGCTCATACAAGAAGGGGGAAAGAGCTTCATGTCTCCAAGGACTCAGGACTCACCCAGTGAGTGCTCAGTAAGCACATGCAGGGATTTCCTTCTCCAGCACCTTCAGT